TCGTGTTCTGCTTTTCGTACTTTGAAGTTTCTTTTTGTTTCCCTAATGTAGGTTTCGCCACATGTGCACTCGGCACGATAGATGACATTTGATTTGTACCGGTTTTTTTCTTTGAGATTCATTTAACTTTTGAGTTTTCTTGTTTGCCACTCGATGATAAACATAAATCGCCCATCCGTAAGATTATTCAGTTTGTTTATTAAAAAACTGTTTTATCCACAGGAAGTACAGAGGCCTCAATTAATTTTCCACGCTTTTGGTTTTGATTTTGTTTTGTTCTGTTTTGTTTTGTTTTGGTTAAAATCGTCCCCGAGACAAAATCTGGCGCTTGTTTCCTTTTTCCCCACAAAACTCCCAGTTTTCTTCCAGATATATGGCAGGCTACTTTTATAATCACTCAACTTATAAGGCTTTATCATTATTGCAAGCTACTGAAATTTGATAATATGATTGCAGTGACTATGGGATGGCCACGGAAGATGCAGAGAATGATGAAGATGACTTTGATGATGAAGATGACAACGACAGAGATGAACACGAAGAAGAAGACGAAGAAGGCAATACTGCCACTGAAAGGTCTTCCGACCCTTTAAGAGGCGTTGGTCGTATTGGTCGTACAGCACGACGGATAATTCGACACGTCCCACGTAAAGTTCGACGTATCGGACGCACAGGTCGACGTATCGGACGCAAAATTGATCGTGTCTTCCGTGGTTAAGCTGGGTATAATTCAAGCTTGGTCAGGGGAAGTGATTTGAAATAACACTATCCTGGTAAACATGCTAGTAATTTATAAATACAAGTTTGTGAGCTGCGGGGCAGTTGTTAAATAGAAATAAATGCTAACTTTGATCAACGTTTCAATGAATTATATTTCTTGAAGTGCTTTCGCTGTTATAGCTAACATCTTGGCCGATGTTGGAAACAAAACAAGGATTTCCACTTTTTGCAGGGATTTTGTCACACCCTTCTCCTTTTTTTATTGTTTTTTCAATTATCACCTTTCTCCCCTCTAAAGAGGTGCCCTCTGTAAGTTTCAACTATGGCCATTTAGACCAGAAAAAATCAAATTCCTCAAACTTTCTCAGATGAATGGTCTACATAAGTGATTCACAAAAATATAACTTTCAGTTCAATTCGATTCGTATCTTAGCGCTGGGGCCACCGTCTTGGTTTTGCCCCTCTGAGAGGGCTTTCAGCGGCCATTTTAGGGCACATTTTTAACAATTTGCCATACAAAGAAAACGATATAAATGCGGATAAAAACCCTTTATTCGAGACAAGCAAATGTTTCTTGTTACATTGAGACGCTGTTTTTGCAATTTGATCATCACCTGATTTTTTTACAGAATTTTAAATTTCTTCCCTTTCGGACTACTCATGAAGCG